AATAGGGATGTGCATGGCTTGGCAGAGTTGCTGCACAATTTGGCTTTGCACCCAGCAGCTTGGGTGTGCCAGCATAGTCTCGGCACCTTCACCGAGGGATGCTGGCAGCGCTGGTGCCGACCTGGAGCCAGCCAACCAGGCAATATCAATGGGCAACAGAGCAAATCCTCTTGCTTCCAACCTTGCTGGAGTATCATTAATTCCATGGATGACCTTGAAGAGTATTTATTCTCCGAAAGGAAGAGTGTTTATTTTCCTAAAATAACAAGCTGGTCAATACCAGTCCTGCTTGTGTGATAAAATTCAGCAAATACTTGCAGTGCTGATCCATGCGATCAGGGCATTCTCACCAACAAATCCTTGGCCATTCAGGTAAAGAAAACCACGCATGTCAAAATGGGATAAAAAAAACCCGAAAACATCCAGAGAATGAGAAAAGGTGGCTTTGGCAAATAAATTCATACTGAACAAGAAAAAAACTCCTATTTTTGTGAAGTAAGAGGTGAAATGTAGACTGCTGATACTACTGTACCTGATTATTGAATTCAAATGAGAGGAAAAAGGGCTGTGTGACAAAGCTTTCTCTACAACAAATAAGCACCAGCTACTTGCAACTACACAAAGGCTAGAAATTTGGGAGAAGGTTTCTGATATCAAAGCAGCAAAACCGTGGAGCAGCCTCCATATGTGGGTAACGATGTGAAAAACCACTAACGGCTCTTAAAGCAAAGCCTGATGACAAGGGATTATAGAACGTGTTGTCTGTGATAGAAAGGACCTGGGCATGAAAACCCAAATAGCCTGTTCCAGCCCTGTTTAATGGAAATGCCCAATAAATGGGCAACACCAAGCCCAGGTGGGCAAAACTTCCATTTGAGGCTACATTCCTTGGTAAGGCTTTAATGTGTGTAGTTTCCAGAGTTGGGGAGCTCCTGGGCTCAGCTCCAACAGTGCCATGGGTGGGCACCTGGGCAGCCCAGAGCTCACAGAGATGTACTGCAACATCAGGAGCAGAGGCTTAGCTCTTGTACCAAAACAAAAGGTTTTGGAGTGATTTCAGCAGTGGTCAGCAGTGAGGGGAACAGGGCAGGGGAAAGTGAAGGATTTCCCTGTGCAGACACTGCATGTCCATATTGCTAAGGTACTCTTGTTTAAGGACAAAGCTAAAAAACAGTGTGCGTTGCCCAAGCTGCCAAGGCATCAATCAGGACTCCTCCCAGCAGCACCAATGCCACCGCGCAGCAAGGTGACTCCTCTGCTGCTCCAATGGGCCCTTTGCCACAGGGGAAAGTAGCAGAACGAGTTTGTGGGAAGTGGACGGGTACAGTATGTAAATAAAAGCCGATTGCACCCTCATTATGTGGGCTCTTTTGAATAAATGTTAGCCTTTAAGTGCCAGCTGTCACTCTATGCATGGCCTCCCTTCTTACAACTAACCTCTCCGTCACCTCGCCTTGTCTCCCTAACTTGTCCTATTATGCAGTACCAAGCTGAGTCATTGTTTCAAGCAGGAGGTGACATGTTAATAGCTTAATAATAGTATAATCTCGCAAATAATAATATGCTGTCACACTGTCTGAAGCACAATGTTTACAGGAGAAGTGGTAATGTATGATGACAGTAATTTGAATAAAAATGAATTTACTGCTCTTGTCTCATTTGCAGTAAATTTTCGCATCTTTCATGCACAACTGGTGCTCCATGACCTCTTTCATTATTGTGTTCTCAGTGGCTGCTGCTTGCTTTAAAGTGAAAGGCAGGCAAATGAAACAGAAACCTGCAGCTTAATAACTGATCTCCAGAAAAGAGTTTGTGCCGCGGCTTCTGAAAATCTCTCTTGGTTTGTTTACTGAGATGATACGGTGTCAGGCAGGCTGTTTAATTAATGCAAGCTGGAGGTGCCGATTGAAAAGCAGGCATGAGCTGATATGATTATGTATTGACAATTTACAAAATTATTGTCATTAAAATGTGTCAGAGGGAAAAAAAAAAGTGCCTGGAATACAGAGAGGATCGTTTGGTTTGAAATTAAAGTTTGCACAGCTTAAGAAAAAACTGTTTTAAATGCTCTCGGTACTGTTTGACGGGGGAGGAAGCAATCCTGTGCTTTCTGTTTGATGCAGGGAACGTGTTGGAAGCTATCCACTTTATTAGCTTTAGTTATAAATGCATACAGCTATGATGCTAGAGTGTACAACTTACAAATGATCCCTGGATGTATCAATTATTTGTGGCTCCTGCTGTGTGCTCACATGTCTTGACCCTGAAATTCTGCCACTTTTGCGTGCAAGATGGACCAGGACTTGTGTGCTATCCTGGCAAATAAATCGGAAATCTATAGATCAAAACCGCCTTTGGAAAACCTAAATTCCTAGGACAGTTCTGTGTCTGCAAAAGAAAAAAGAACTTATGACGTGATTTTGTGCATTTGATGAAAGAAGAAGGAAGTTTACAACTCACAGCTGATGTGCCTGGACTAAATTCGGTGTGATGGAATGAGGACAACTAATTGAAACTTACTGGGACTCAAAACACTGCACAGGACAAATTGTCAGAAAAATGCTGTATTTTATCTAAGTTTAAGGGAACGTACAGAATAAAAAAAATGGGCTCTGTGTGACCTAGTTCATAGGTTAAAGTCACTAGGACTACAGATTACCTCCCTATCTGTGTATATACAAATGCACACATGCATTTTTTTATTATTTCTATTTTGCACCCAATCAGTACATTATTTTCCCTCTGAATAGAAAGTTAAGCAATATTAATTTTTCAGGAAGAGCTCGATGCTTGCTGTGTAGGAGTTTTTTGAGTGACAGTATGATTTTCAATTTTAAAATAAATCTTCAGAAGAGACAGGAGGAATCATAGAATCACAGAATCATAGAATGGCCAGGGTTGGAAGGGACCTCAAGGATCATGAAGCTCCAACCCCCCCATTGCATGCAGGGCTGCCAACCTCCATATCTAATACTAGACCAGGCTGCTCAACACCCCATCCAACTGTCCTTGAACACCTCCAGGGATGGGGTATCCACAGCCTCTCTGGGCAAGAGATGGCAAAATGGCAGAACACTACTTGCTCTCAATAAACTAAGGAATGGGTTGTCAATGTGCTTTGTCCTGCTCCCATTTACTGACCACCTGTGAGCTGGAGTTGGCAACACAGGATTGTGAAGCCTTGGAGGCACCTGTGAGTGGTGTAATCCTAACCCAACATCAACCTAAGCAATTCAAAGCCACTTTCCAACACACCTCCCGTTTTCATTTTCAAAGCACTTGCATCCCTCACCCCATGAATGCTGCACAAGCATCGGGAAATGCCCACACGTGGTGCTGGAAGTGTGAACATCCCATGGATGGTTCTACAACTCACCTCCCATGTGCTGTATTGCTTTTTGTATGGGTGGTGCAGAACAATGCATTGTGGCTGTGGAGTGCTGGGATGCAGCACCCAAATCCCATTGGGGTGCAGATGGGCAGTAGCAACCACCACCCCATGGTTTTTCTCAGTAGTTTCAAAGACTTTGCATACAGGAAGGAACCTTCTCTCTTTATGCTGATATTTACCTTTGGAGGGTGACATTCTGAAAAAAACCAAACAAACAGGAAAGTCACATTACTGGCAGCAGTAATCTGATGTGGGGCTTTGGAGAGTGCGTGCAGCCCCATGCAGGAGTCTATGGAGACAGCAGAAGACACAACTTTGAGGCTGTCTCTCTGATACCATTCTCTCTGAACGTATAGGAAAACAAGTTGTCTCCATTAGGAAGAGGCAATGTGGTGGTATGATGTATCCAAACACGTGCTTGGCTTCAAACCTCACAGTAATTGTAGTGAAGTAAGCACAGAGCTATTTGCATGCTTCGAGTGAAGGCTGATGCGTTTCATAAGCACCTTGCAAGGCTGGGAGGAGGTTTGAACTGAATTTTCAATTCTTGTTTACATGAAAATTTCCAGGGGATTACTCAGAGCAGTGAGAGCTGTGTGACCCCCACCAGTTCATTGCAGTAAAAGAAGCTGTTTTGCTGAAAAGGCCTTTCCGTTTTCCGCTGGAAAATATTTTCTGTTTAAAAATAATTTCTGTTTTCCCAGTGTACGTTTAACACTTTCATCCAAGAGTATTTCACATCATGCTGGAAATCCCAGTCATGTGAGTTAAAAATAAAAATATTTATGTAATCAGAGGATTAAATAATGATTAACAGAGATCACGTGTGAATGGGAAGTGGAGAACAGAGCAGCGAAGCCTCACTTTGGCTGATGGAGTTTCTTTCATGTATATAAAAGGTGTCTTTTCCCCGAGCCACCAATGTTCAAGGGGATGTCTGGTCTTCTGTGTCATGCTTGAAACTGAGAGGTCCTCTTTGTTGCTTAGTGCTGCCTCTAAATTATTTAAATGTAGAAGAGTCTGATTAGAGGTCTTAATTAGGTGTACCGATGAGTGGTAAAAATACCACTGTTCCGAATGGCCTCACGGATCTTTGAGCATGCAAGTTATTCAACCAAACATGAGGAAGTTTCACAGGGGGTGAAAATGGTATGTGAGGAAATCGATAAATCGATAAAGTGGGTGGAGCTAACTTCTCCACGTGGAAGTCAAGTGGATTTTTAATTGAGTCGGAGAGGCGCTGGCTCAGGGCTGTGGGGTGTGCGGTGCTCAGTTACCAGCTAGTGCTCTCCCTAATCACCTTGTTCTCTAAAGGAAATAGATACTAAACAGGAACCATCTGGTAATACATTCTGTACCTCTTAATTACAATGTTTTGAGTGGCACCTAAATAAATTTCATTTACAAGCACATGACTGCTTGTCAAAAGCTCCGTTGATAATTTTATTATTGTAGTATACCTTCTTGCTTAATGACCCCGGCCCAGTAAAGTCAGGAATATTCAGTCCTGTAGAGAGAATGTGTTTGTCTGAAGGAAGGAAAGACAGAAACTCTACCTTTCATGCAACATCTCTAATTACTGGCAAATACATTTGTTTCTCTGTTTCAGTTTGGCGTGTACTTACCAACAGCATGGCGGGATGTCTGCAGTGAAATGTTCCCAGCCCTGTGACCTCCTGGTAAGCAGGAGGAGTTCACACAGCTCTGTGGAGAGCTCTGGCATTGCTGTAATATGTCTGTGTTCTTTTATGATCTCTGTGTTTCTCTGCAGATGTACTGTAGCATTTAGACAATTTTCTCTTTGTTAGCTGCAGGAAAAGATCAATATTATAAAGAGGTGGAGTGACTCCGTGAATTAGTCTCCTGCGTTTTCACTCCTGGAAGTGGCGGATCTAATCCTGTTTGGAGGTGAGATGAGGCTGAGCCATGAACACTGTCCTTGGTCTGTGCTGGAGCCTCCTCCAAATCTGAGAGCTCACTGTTCAACAGAATAGTTTGGTGCTGTGTGATGTGATTGACATAGAGTCATAGCATCATAGAATAGCCTGGGTTGAAAAGAACCACAATGATCACATAGTTTCAACCCCCCTTTTATGTGCTGCCCAGAGCCCCATCCAGCCTGGCCTTGAATGCCCCCAAGGATGGGGCAGCCACAGCCTCTCTTGGTAACTCGTTCCAGTGTGTCACCATCCTCATACTCCATTAGAGAAAAATTTAAAACTATGGTTGGTCTCCATGATGAGGAGATGTGCATGGACAGAGGACGAGCCACCACTGCTCTCTCCCATACAGCTTTTTTTTGGGTGCAAGACAAGGTTTTCTTTTGTCCTTGCTGGGAGCAGTGTCACTTGCAGGAAGATCTTGGCTCATCCCAGTGCAATATGCACAGAGTACAAAAATATTACCAGTCATTGCAGATTTTGATATGTTTTACAGGCAAAGTGCTAATTCATCCCCATGTTTGAATGTCCTTTTTGAATAGCAAGTAAGTTGGAGGAGACAAAACTCCTATGAGGGAGGGCAGAGGAAGGGTTTCTGGGAAAACAGGAGGAATATGGCACCTGGAGGGGTTTTGGCTGCTTCTTTGGGATGAGCTGCCCATGGGAAAAGAGCCTCATAAACTGTAAAATAGCCCTATTTCTAAATCCATGGCAAATTAAGAAAAGGAATTCTACTGCTCTCAGCAGGATCCTTTACTTCTTTCTAGTTGCAGTTCCTGTGTTGTTTTTTTCTTTAAAATAATTTTGTCTTTAGGTCTCAGTCTAGGTGTGAGAACTTTGGGAAACAAATAAGCTTTCAAATACTTTTTTTAATCAATGCTTTAGCAACCTGAGATTGAAATGATACATAAATTCAGGAAGGAGTGGGTGAAATAGAGTAAGTGTCACCAAATGGGGCTGTATGATTGGGTTTGTGAAGCCTGAGCAATCTGGGCAAGGAATGGGGAATTCACTGTACGCAGCAAACTCTTAGACTGTACGATATAATATCTGGATCTGCAGCTAATGTTTAAAGAGGGCACTTGCTTTACTTATGAGATTAAAGGCAAATGCTCTCTTTTAAAAATGAAGTCATGCTGTGTTTTGCACCTTTTGACACTTATTAACTCAGGTCATTAAAAAGAGGCTAATTAAAAAAGAATGTAAAACAAAAGAGTCATTTGTCTATTGCCGAGCTGGGTTCTTCATGTACGCTGACTGGAGGCAGTCTCTGTTTAAGCCGTGGGTACAGAAAGCACTGATGGCCACTGGGGCATGCTTGGAGCTTGTCATGGCTTTTGGCTAGACTGTGGTCCGGCTCATTATGCACCTCATAAAGAAGAGAAGTCATTGTCATCAAAATTAGCTGAAGCTGGAATTTACATTCATGGAAATTTTGGTTTCACCATTGTCCTCTGGGGCTGGACAATAAAGGAAACCTTTTACCAGCTGCAGTTAAAGTAAGTGAAGTTCAATAAATGCTTAGTGCTTCATTAAGGCATTTCCGAACATACTGTGCTATATGCTAGCGATATTTCACAGGCGAGGAGGGTTTGGTACAAACAGCTTGTGAGGCTCAGTAGTTCCAGGGGCACGAGATGTGCAATACACACCAAATCCGGCTTGTAACAACCAGCCTTTCTAGCCATTGTTTATCCCAGAGGTGTTCCATTCCTCTACAATGGACACTTGCTTAACAGGCACTTTCTCACTGGTCAGGTAAAAAAGTGTCCTTTCACAGGAATGAATGAGTTCTCCTGCAATTGAGGGAGCCAGGCTGACTTTTTCACCCTCTTGAATACTTGGAGTATTGCACTTACCTGCACAGCACCATGGGGCAGGCTTAGAACCTCTCTGATTGCGGCAAGGCCAGAGGCTGACTGAAGGCCCATTCACCTTCCCAGTAAATCCTCCCAAGGACTTCCAGGAGGATGTGGACAGATTTGTGGTTTATTGCTGAAAGCTCAGACGGGCAGCGGGAGCTGGGCTGCACCCATCGCTCTTCCCTGAGCTCCTCTGAGCTGAGATGACACGGAGGCATTTGGAGGACAGGAGTCTTGCTAGGGCCATTGTATGCCCAAAAAGGAAGCCATAATGACTAGTTAGCCACCTGTCTTCCTGCACCTTCACTTGACAGTACATGGTGTAGTTTTTTTTTCCATGCTGCTGAACTTCCAAAGCCATGAAGATATTTATGGAAATATCTTCAGCAGGATTTCAATCACTCTCCGTAGCGGTGCGCCTTGCTGGCCTACAGGGAATCAGATCAATCACAAATGTTTCTAGAGAGGGTTCTCCAAACAGAAGTGCGCTTCTCCGAAATCCAAGATTTGCGAGTTGGAATCGATTTTGCTCGTTGTTTTTTAAAGCCTCCCCACTCCTTCCTCACACAGATGACCGTAAATTCAGTCCAGAGCTTTGATTCATAAGGTATTTAAACAGATGCTCTTATTTAAACATAAATCCTATCATAAACTTCAAATTTATGCTTACATGATATCCTGACTTAGGGTCTTAGAGCTGGAAAACACAAAGGGATTAATGAACTTAAGGAAAAGGTTAGGAATGTCATTCAAATGCTGATTGAGGCAATGGCCTTTCAAAGACGAGATCTCTCCAGTGCTGGAGCCAAGCCCAAGCCTGGGAAGGGCAGGAGGCAGATGGGGGCACAGCCTGCCCCGATTCTGTGCTGCGGTGGTGGTGGCAGGGATTTGCGATGCCGGCAAAGCCATCCAGCCCTGGTGGGTGCTGGGCTGCCCATGTCTGTCCCAACCAGGCCATGCCGATGGAGAAAAAGCCGTATCGGCGTTGAGCAAATGCACACAGCCCGATTTCAGATGCAGCCACACACAGGACAAAAGGGTTAAGGAAGAAGCGCAACTCAGCGCCTGGCGCAGGCAGGGCTCTGCTCATCGCAGGGGGCAGTGGGACCCGCTTTGTGCTGGAATCTGGCTGCAACCAGAATATCCTGCAGGAAGCAGTCATTTCAAACAAGCCATCTTTTTTTTTTTTTTTTTTTTTTTTTTTTTTATTCTAGAATATAATTAATACATCAGGTCATGTTTTGTACTGCCAGTGGCGTGTTTATTACATTATTACTTCACAGGCATTTTTAGCGGTAGTCCAGGAGTTAGGAGTCAGTGGCTTTCTCGCAGAGCTATCCCATTTAAGCAGGGTAGGTTTATACCTAGTCTGTGAATATTCATGTCTCCTGAAAATAATAACAGTATTATTGTTGCTGAAATCTTCAGGGAAGCTAGCTGCCAGTGAGAGATTATTTAAAGCAGGTTCTCCCATCACCCCTCCCTAGTGAAAATGCTCAGAAAAAATCCTTATAGACAGATAGGCACAGAGTGGTTTTTGTTTTGTTTTGTTTTGTTTTTTTTCTTTTTCCTTTTCTATTTTTTTTTCCTAAAGCCATGTTTCCAAGGATAAAATCTTACTTGCAAAGATCCTTATTACATGTGTGTACCCTTAAGCTGCTGAGATGACACCACTGCTTACAGGTGGTGGAGTGAAAGCAAGCAAAAGCACCAAACCCCTGAAGTCTCAAGTCACTGCAATCATCTTCAACTCCCAAATTGTCCTGGAAGGAGAATAGCATCGGATTTGTCTTAGGCTGTTTGGCCAAACTGGGGCACAGATGGGATAATGACTTTTACAAACAGCATTTTGATGAGAGGAGGGGAGAAGGAATCATATGTAAAATGCACAAAGGCTGCATAAACACACTGATGCCTGCAGCTGGAACAAACTAAAAAGATGTTTAATAATTTAGAACCAAGCAGGCAGGGCCTGTGCAGCTGTTGTGTGCAGGGGACCATGAAAGTCTTCCATTTGACAGCTGGCTCCATCTTTCCCCAGTTGCTACGTGAAGAAGCGAATGCAGATTTGGGATTAGCCAATCCCTGTTACCCCTGCCCATCTGCCACCAAGACCCCCGGCTCCGGCTCCTCTCGCCGGAGAAGCACACACATAAAAAAGTCCACACTCTCCCAAACATATGTATGCATCAGTATCAGCCGTCAGCCGTTCCGAGGATCTGTTGACATGCCGCCAGTACATGGCTGCTGTCGTTTTTGCTGCAGGGCACATTTTGCATTTCACACATTTGCAGAAATACAAAATGCTGTTGGATGCAAACAATTCAGGGCCTAATTGGCTGAATTACTTCAATGTTACCTTGTGTCCCCCACCTGATTAACATAGCTCAGCTGGGAGGGCTGGGAAAGAAGGAGCAGAGAGGGATTTGGAGGGCAGGTGAAGCTGTGTTTGCCCATGAAAGCGAGATCCTTAGCGAAGTCCCAGCTGAGCCGTGCGGGGCCGTGCCAGGCAGCGAGCTGTGAGACAAGGGAGCTGCTGGGGGCTGCAGCTCCAGCACAGAGACCTGGCAATGGCTGTCCCTGCTCCAAAATGGGCAGTGCTGGGCACTGCAGTGGCTCTCACGAATTGGAAAGTATGTGCAAAACGAGAGGGCTTGCTAAGCCAGACACCAAGCTCACAGCAGCAGAGCAAAAGCCACAAAGGAGCTAATGATCATTATTAGAGCCTATTCCAAAATTGCATTCTGTTATTATTAATGAGGCAGATTATCATTTGTTCTTATTCAGGAGAATGTAAAGAGCTTCGGAAAGATGCAACAATTACAAAGAGGAGGTTGGTTATTATTATTATTATTTTTTTTAATGTCAAAATACTCCAAAAAAATAAGAGTTTAGGCTTTATTGTCTTTTTTTTTTTTTTTTTTTCTCTCTCTTTTGCTGAGAAATTATTTCTGTTGAATTTTGCACATAAATATTTACATGTGATTTGCATTTTCACCCAGCCTATTCAGGGTAATGTTCTGTACTGGGAATCTTCTTTCTGGCTTTTTGTATTGTTTTGTTTTAAATAATACAGCTTATGGGGAGAAGATGCCCTGGTTTGTTA